CAGCTGCACATGGAAGTTTTTCAACAACAAAAACAGTATGGATTATTATTGTGATATGGGTCGTGACAGCCACAATAATGCCAAGCTTACTTCAGGATTCCACCTTCTGCCTACTGCGGGGCGTCTAGCCAAGCGTTCTGCTCTTGATCAAGTAGCTGCATCCCGCCAGCTAAACTGCTGGCTTGAATATCTGTGCAGATATTTTTTGCCACAATGGCGCAACATCAGCTTCGTTAATACAATCTGCGAGGCTCCACTCAGCATCAGTGTGTGCAGTACTTGGCCATCATGTGAAATGTGAAGTGGCTTCAGCGTTGCATGCCTCGGCTGGAACATACGCAGCATGCCTATCTCCATTTGCCCTGCAGCTTGTTGCCATGTGCATATGCCGCGTTTTAGCAGAGCAAGTACGCAGCACGCTTGGCGAATCTCTCTTCTGGTTCTCCCTCGGCTGTCTGGAAACGCTCTTGAATCTTGTGTGAGAGAAACATGGTATGAGTTTGCGCGCTATTTTGTTTTATTACTAATTACAGTATGGCCCCGTTATAATGGAGTCGTTGAGCCCGTCCGTGAAATGTTATTGCGAAAAAAGCGGTCGTGCAGAAAATCAGAGTACTATAAACCAGGTCCAATGGCTGACCTAACATTCCAAAACACCCATATTTTTGCCCTAGTTGACCCAGTTTATTTGCACGTTTTATGCTCTCTATTGATAGCGATAGAGACTATAAGGCCGCGTTTAACTCACCAAAAATATTTTCTAGTTTTTGACAAGAGCAAAAAAAATGTCTATATCACTTTATATTCGAATTACTCTTTAAATCAGCGCACGCAAAATTTGAATTTCACTGCCACCTCGAATACTGCCACCAACACAGCAGCCACTCCCAGCTGTAATTACTTCTCAAAATAATTTTATTTGAAGTAAAATCCATAAAGTAAATTAAGTCAAAGCAAGGTATGCATGCACCTGGCTCGTCGGCCTGTAGTTGACACTCCAATTGGCCAATTATTTTGCGCACATTTCTGCCATTATCAACCATGCGCAGTAGCCGTTGTCACATCCTGCGACACGAAACATGCCATCCTCCAGCCGCTGACAGCAGACTCGTTTGGCACTCTTAGTCAGCACACAACGAACTCCCAAACTTTAATTATCCAGTTGACCATTTCTATACCCCCCCCCCTCTTCTATTCCTTTAACAACTCTCTGGCCTGCGTTGATTAAGTACCAAACAGTAGACGTACATTTTGATACTGCTGCTCATTTTCGCCGGACTACTGGCCAACAAGGTTTCATTCGCAATGCAATTGTCATGCAGGCCTAATCGGCGTCTTCTGTCGTGCTTAGCGTATGCCGGTTATGAGACGCCACGATATATTCTTAGCAGTATTTTCACCTTTCTTTTTTACAGAAAGAATAATGCCAGGAAATATTAATTTTAGTTGTGTTCCAAAAATGACCTTTGATACGGTTGGGTTAGAACAAGACTCATAAAGCTTGTGAACATCGTGCTGCTGCCAGATAACCTTGTTTATCAATGCACCAGCTCTCTTATTAAGCCTTGCTGGAATAAAAGAAAATTATATGTAAGTCATATTCTGGAATCAGCATCGAGTATTTATCAAAATTAAGTATAGCTGCATTAAAAATCCAAACAGTATCTGTGCGTTTGCATAATAAAAGTAAACGAAACGCTTCAGCAGGTACGATTCTAACGTGCACTTGCTGCCGAAAAATGATTAGCTACACTACACGTCACTAATACTATAAAAAAAAATTTGTATCTTACCAGAGTATATCAAAATTGCATATATATTATGCACAATAATTTACATTACTAAAAGTAAACGAAAAGACTACCAATTACTAATATTAACTTTTCATTTCTAACGTTGCCATGATTTTTAGCACTCAGACACCTACAGCTCACGTACACGTACTGTTGTAGCCTATCGAATGATGCCGTTTTGTTTTGGCCGCTAAAATGACGTCACGCTAATACCCGGCCGGTAGGGGCTTTCTAGAAACCGAAGTTGGTTAACATCCATTGAGCCAAAATGGCAAATGCGCGAGGAATTTCGTCAGTCTTTGCTGTGCATTCGCGTGACACAGCTCGTTTAGGAAGAGAGCGTCGGCAATATGTTTTTATAACAAGTGAACACTCTGTATGCAAGGAGAAAACAAAGATGTAAGTCTGTTTGTATGAGTATTTGGTTTTTAAATCGTTATAAATGCACGCGAGCGTCGAGCGAATTCTGAGATCTCGCTTTCTTACCTGCTCTCTATATAGTGCAAGCGTGCAACATCGCGCCGCGAGAGCAATGGCAGCCGGTAGAGTGCCAGTGGTTGGAAACTATCGGCGGTGTAGCCGTAGGTGAAGAGAGTAGCCTGGCTAGTTTACTATAGTATAGAAACATTAAGAATTTTTTAGTTAGCATTTATATTTTATTTGAAACGCTTTCAAGTGCCCTGTGCATGTTAGGTACTCGATCACTCGGCATGTTTACTGGTCCCAGCAACGTATTAGCGAATGCCGCACTGTGTATGTAGATAACACATATCTCCTGTCCGTCTTGTATGTGCAAGTGTTTATACGACGATGTCTGTCATCTTTTATTTCGCCAGCCACTGCACGTACACTGTCGTGTGGCTTTCTGTTGCGCACCGTGTTGTAGGCCTAGACATCACACCGCTCGCGCGCACACATCCTGTCTATTGTCTAGACAAGCGTGCTGTAGGCACACATGCTGTATCCTCCATGGCGTCTGCAGCAGCAGCGGTATGCAGCCGGGCGAACTTTTCCTCGACGCATACACGCCTGCCCTGCAAACGTTCAGCACTAATTCTCACAGTTTCACTTTGCTGAGGCTTCCGACATCGTTCCCTTCGCCGCTCCACCATGTTAAGTATTGACGAAGAGTGATGTAACTTCATAAGACGTTTATTACTGGAGCTGGATACATGTTCTGCCTAGCAGCCATAACGAACCGGCCAACCAGAGCGCCGCGGTATCAATCCGCTCTGACCCAACAACAAGGTTCTACAGAAACAACACGTGCATGCGCACAGTAGGTAGTCCCTACTATTACAGTCGCCGTACGGTCATGGTCGCCCATCTGACAGGGGTATTAGGGTTAGGGTTCGCGTGTTTTTCCATCATGCACCGCAGTGGTGAATTTTTCGCTAGCGCCGTTTCCTCGACAATTCATCCTGTTTTTTCTGGCAGGAAACGTTTAGAAACTTAAGATTTTCAACACATGAACATTAAATTACGTTTGCTTGTTGAATATACCACATAATTTCCTGTACCGTTCTACTTACTATAGCATTGAAATAACGCTAAACAAACGGCCGTTGCGCAACTACGCAAATTAGGACTTGTGGCGGGTTCTGCATGCACTACGCTGCTACTGCTACTAAACTTGGGATCCGTGCTGAACGTGTTAAAAGCATTTTCGTTTCACTTCGCGTATTTTAAACATCACGTTTACTAACCGACTCTGGGTTGCTGAGAGTGAAGGTAAAAAGCGAGGTAGATTGAACGCAGAGAGATCATAGGCGTTGCAAACGTGCAGGCGACAGAACCGTGTGTATAAACTCAGTGACCAAACATTAAATCGGCATAATTCGACCATCGATTATGCAAATGACGAATGCTACAGTAACTGGCACCTTGTGTAGTTAATAATACATTACTTATAGCCAAACGCGTATTAGTTTGTCACATATCACTGCTAATTACTAAGAAACTGTCTAATTGAAATCGTAAAATTGGTAATCTTGCGACAACGCCGAAATTTATGGCCCAACAAAATAAACATCGAGTTCGCGTTCGCGTGACGTCACATGTTGCTTAACGATGTGAGCATCGAATTGTTTGTTCCGCGGTAAATTGTTTGCCTAGTGTTATTATATTGCCTAGTTGCCACATATTATATGTTGCTTGTAATCTCAAGAACGTATATTCATTTAATTCCCGAATCCCAGAGTAAAACCATAACGTACGGAATGCGCACTAGACTACAAGGATCGAAATCACTGACGGTCGCCGAGCATACGTGCGAAAATGTCCGGTGCACTATAATCTGTATGACACCGCCTCGCCAGTTCTGGCCGGTTTACACGCCGGCATGGCGCGTTGTAGCTGTCAACAACGATTTCTTGGACTGCGGATTTCAATTAGCATCATTTCTTAGTAACCAGCAGTCGATATTGGACAAACTAATACGCGTTTGGCTATAACGGTAATGTACTTATTAACTACACAAGGCTGCCAGTTACTGTAGCATTCGTTAAAATTGCATAATCGATGGTCGAATTATGCCTTTAAGGAGGTCGATGACAAATAGTGCATAAATGATAACCCTCAATCCCTACTCTATAAATTCGATACCATTGCTCCAGTTTTACGTTTATTTAGATCGACTCTTATAGTAGAAACGTTTATTGACTTACATAGGCTGTTGAAACCACAAACATACACCTTACTAATAAATAGTGATACATGTAAAGAAAAACGTACATATATAATACACAAGTTTTTTTTATTGAGATTTTGAATTTTTGGATGCAAACCGACCATCTAACAACTAATGGCAACATAGATATTCGTTGATGTATCGGGCAACTGACTACCTCCCCCCCCCCCACACACACACGACAGACATGATCACAAGATTACACCTGCACAGAAGAATTCTACATTCTACTTCCGTGGCTTCAATCGAGACACACGATTGCCGGTCGGCATGAAATCGCGACAGACAATTGACCGGGCTGTTGTTATAACAGGATCACGGACGCTGCTGTTCACACAGCAGCAGCATGCTATGGCGAAATGGTCGCCTCCCCATCGTATCGTGCATGCTGTGTTCACACAGCCAGCAGCAGTGCTATTGAGACAATGGTCGCTCCCCATCGTATCGTGATGCTGTGTTCACACAGCCAGCAGCCAGCTGCTATGGACAATGGTCGCCCGCCATCGTATCGCTGATGCTGTGTTCACACAGCCAGCAGCAGTGCTATGAGACAATGGTCGCTCCCCATCGTATCGTGATGCTGTGTTCACACAGCCAGCAGCAGTGCTATGGGACAATGGTCGCTCCCCATCGTATCGTGATGCTGTGTTCACACAGCCAGCAGCAGTGCTATGGGACAATGGTCGCTCCCCATCGTATTGTGATGCTGTGTTCACACAGCCAGCAGCAGTGCTATGGGACAATGGTCGCTTCCCATTGTGTGTTTCCTGATGACGCTATCACAGAGATCCGGAAGAAGAGACTCCGAGATGACGAAGTAATCTAGCCTCCTGGTGGGAGAAACACACGACAATGTTAGAGGAATCGCCTCCTGGTGAGAGAAACACACGACAAAGTTACAGGAAGCGCTACCTAGTCAGAAAAACACTGGACAATGCTACAGGAACCGCCCCCTGGTGAGAGAAACACGCGACAATGTAGAGCCGCGCCGCTTCCCCCCGGTGGCTAGACTGCCGCCGACCTCCCTCGCTCACCATCCGATGTCCTTGCTGCGTGCGTTCATCATGTAGGTCCAGAACGTGTAGGCGCCGGCCTGCGCGGGGTGCAGGCTGCGGTAAGTGTCGATGAAGCCGGCGTTTAGCAGCTGTGTGAACCCCTCGCGCTCCTCGTCCGAGAACCCAGCGTTACGGTGATTATTCGCAGGACGCGCCAGGTCTGAAACACCGCCAGGGGGCGCCGTCAGTACGCCGCCGCCGTCGTTAACTAGATAGATTACTGCTAGTGTTCGTGTAGCCACAGCGCCCCCTACCCATACACGCGTCTCCACCTCTAGCTACGGCGATCCCTACCTACCAACCACCACTCCTCGACCCAGACTACAGCACCCCCTACCTATCTCCTCGTGGCAGACGTTGAGGTCACCACACAGGATCACCGGTTTGCTGTTTTCCAGCTTCTTGAGGTAATCTCTGAAGTCCTTGTCCCACTTCTGTCTGTAGTCGAGACGAGCCAGCTTCTTCTGTGAGTTGGGAACGTCTGCAAGAATGGAGAGCGGCTGTAGAGTTATATCACTGTCAGTGAGTAGCAGCAGCCGCAGCAGCAGCAGCAGCAGCAGCAGCAGCAGCAGCAGCAGCAGCAGCAGCAGCAGCAGCAGCAGCAGCAGCAGCAGCAGCAGTAGTAGTAGTAACAGCAACAGTTAAGATTTTAAGTAAACTTAAGATAGCTCTTGGAAACATCTGGGAGAGATTTGTAACAGATATACGCAATAGGAAGACACACAATTATTATAAGAGATCACGAGGCATAAGGAGAGAGAGAGAGAGAGAGAGAGTAACATGTGTACAGCAAGGAGAGTATATGTACAGCAAGGAGAGTATATGTACAGCAAGGAGAGTATATGTACAGCAAGGAGAGTATATGTACAGCAAGGAAAGGATATGTACAGCAAGGAGAGTATATGTACAGCAAGGAGAGTATATGTACAGCAAGGAGAGGATATGCACAGCAAGGAGAGTATACGTACAGCAAAGAGAGTATATGTACAGCAAGGAGAGTATATGTACAGCAAAGAGAGTATATGTACAGCAAGGAGAGTATATGTACAGCAAAGAGAGTATATGTACAGCAAGGACAGTATATGTACAGCAAGGAGAGTATAGGTACAGCAAGGAGAAGATATGTACAGCAAGGAGAGGATATGTACAGCAAGGAGAGTATATGTACAGCAAGGAGAGGATATGTACAGCAAAGAGAGTATATGTACAGCAAGGACAGTATATGTACAGCAAGGAGAGTATATGTACAGCAAGGAGAAGATATGTACAGCAAGGAGAGGATATGTACAGCATGGAGAGTATATGTACAGCATGGAGAGTATATGTACAGCAAGGAAAGTATATGTACAGCAAGGAGAGGATATGTACAGCAATGAGAGCATATGTACAGCAAGGAGAGTATATGTAGCATGCAGCAATCACTCACAGACGCCGACGACGAAGAATTTATCGTATTCTGCGGTGATCGCTCTCCCCTCCTTATCATGCTCCGACATTCCTGCAAGAATCCAACCAATCATCAGCCGCCGAGCCACACACCAGGTGGCAGCCCATTTTAGGCATGTATAATCAGGTCTCAACCGGGGATCGAAATTTAGAGGAAATCCGGTAATCCTAATACCCCCGTCACACCGGACGGCGACCATCCGCGACCGTACGGCGACCAGAAAATGTACAAGGTCGCCGGCAAACGCGAACACAG